ATGGACACCGAGGTCATCGTGGACACCATGGCAAGCATTGGTCACCATTGGCCACCATGGACACCATTGGCCACCGAGGTCACCATTGGTCACCATTGGTTACCATTGGTCACCACGGATACCATGGCCACTGTGGCCACTGAGGTCATTGTGGCAAGCATTGGTCACCATTGGTCACCATTGGTCACCATGGTCACCATTGGCCACCGAGGTCACCATTGGTCACCATTGGTTACCATTGGTCACCACGGATACCATGGCCACCGTGGCCACCGAGGTCATCGTGGCAAGCATTGGTCACCATTGGTCACCATTGGTCACCATTGGCCACCATTGGTCACCATTGGTCACCATTGGCCACCATTGGTCACCATTGGTTACCATGGACACCATTGGTTACCATGGACACCATTGGTTACCATGGACACCATTGGCCACCATTGGCCACCGTGGCCACCAAGGTCACCATTGGTCACCATTGGTTACCATTGGCCACCGTGGCCACCAAGGTCACCATGGACACTATTGGTCACCATGGCCACCATGGCAAGCATTGATCACCATTGGTCACCATTGGTCACCATTGGCCACCATGGACACCATTGGTCACCATGGCCAGGATTGGTCATTGTGGCCACCATGGCCAGCATTGGCCACCATGGACACCATTGGTTACCATTGGCCACCGTGGCCACCAGGGTCATCGTGGACACCATGGCAAGCATTGGTCATCATTGGTCACCATTGGTCACCATGGATACCATGGCCACCGTGGCCACTATGGACATCAAGGTCACCATGGCCACCATGGCCACTATGGATACCATTGGCCACCATGGACACCAGTGGCCACCGTGGCCACCAGGGACACCATTGGTCACCATTGGTCACTGTGGCCACCAGGGACACCATTGGCCAGTATTGGCCACCATGGATACCATGGTCGCAATTGGTCACCATTGGCCACTGTGGCCAGCATTGGTCACCATGGACACCATTGGTCACCATTGGTCAGTGTGGCCACCGTGGCAACCATTGGCCACCATGGATACCATGACCACCATTGGTCACCATTGGCCACCATGGACACCATGGCCACCATTGGCCACCGTTGACCCTCCAATGGTT